TTAATCTACGTGCGAGTTCCAGCTGAGAGTGTGTCGATAACTACACCTATTCTTCAATATTGTAACGTCTACTTCGAAGACGGAGGAAACTGGTAGAACTCGATTAGCTGTGCTTCCGCAGTGTCACAGATCGCGAGGGAAAACTACTATGGATGAACAACATCCGGACGGTTTCTCAGCATCCGAAAAGCTTCACAACGCACGAATTTGACAAGACTCGGCTCCTGCACAGGTAAAAACCGGTACTGGCCTAGATGCATTAGATGCACTGGAAATCAATAGACGACCGCACAACATCAACGTCGAAATCGCGCCTGGAAACGCCGAATTCCACCAATATGCGATTGTCCGGCGGCTGAACAACGCCGTCCGACCACGAGGACGGGTGGCGTGAGGCCCGGGTTATCCCAGACCGCTAGCCAATCAGAGAGTCCCCTCTGCCAATTACGGCGCACATTCCTCCACCCTAGCGGCTAGGCCGTACAGTTCATAACACCGGAGGCGCCGCACCGCTGTATCTGCCATGAGGAAGCCTGCGACATTGCAGGTGAAACGACGGCCTCTCAGCCAACGATGCGGCGTCATCCGAACAGCCACGAACATGAGACGCGGTAGCTTGCGTGTACATCCGTCTAAAACTAAAAATTCTTTGATATTGTATTGTATTCTTTGATACAAAACGTCTCATTTGCTTGCTTATGTTACAGCTTATGTATACACAGTTACTACCGTGATAGTATCTCACACTAATTTGCAATTATAATTAATTTTAACTTTAAATCGCAAGCAAAATGAGTCATTGTTACACTCATGCAATTCATAAATTTTTAAGGACATGTTACTTAGCAGAATGTATAATGTGATTAGAATTCCAGTTTTAAAACGTTATTTCTATTTCCCTTACAAAATCACATATTTCACTAGATTCCTTTTCAAAATTTCACTCGTAGTATAAGTTACAATCATTTAAACAATTCAAGACTTCTCGCGCACTGGCAGTTCGTAATCTCCGACCTCCAAATCCAAGGCGTTCTGCTTAGATCCGAAAGCAAAATAGGTGCCTTTTACCTTGGATGAGTCACGTCGGCTCAGTCCGAGACGTACCCTAGCGCAGCCCTGGACCGACCCCGACGTCGCTTGGCGATGGCCCATCGTTAATACTGTCCGTGCAAGCGCGCTCGCCCCACGTCAACTTTGCCTCGCGAGCTGATTGCCTCCATCCCATCCAATGCAGCGCCTACACTCGCGTGGTCTTCTTCGCGGTAATGTTCCACACCGACAGGTTCACACCGTTCTCTCGCACACCAGTTAATTACATTTCACAGTTTTGAACAGTTTTGAAGTTCTGTACACCCACCTGAATTAAATCATTTGATTCGCGGCGGCCAGAAGGATTAGTTACTTCCGCTCTTTTATTCTCTCTAATGCAAATCATATCCGCCATCACCCTTTTTACATACTACTACACAGTACATATGAATAATGTTTTAATTTCAGGTTCTATTTGATCACCTCAATAATTACACTCTGCCAAACAGTTATTCGTGTGTCGATGCTCCAACGAACTTACAAGATGGCTGCTCCAGCCTAACGTTTCCGCACAAGACATTTACTCGTCGGTGACTCGAAACAGAACAAACTCATATATCGGCGTTTCGCAAGAGAAGAGGGTTTCGTTTCGTTGCCCATAATATTTATGAACCATCGGCCACTACTACGAAACCATCAGCCACTCTTTTCCCCATACATCAGTCACTGTGTTGTGCTCGTCGGCTCATATAGCGCTCTCTCACTGATCGCTCCCTTGCGCACATCGCAACCACCGAACTCTCATGACATCGTCGAGTCTGTAGGCGTACTGGGATGTTTGGTATATTACCTAACGTCACAATATATATATTTATATGCCGAAACGATGACGGGGAGACAAGGTGGCGCAGTTAGCGAGAAAAGCAGCTGGGCGGCAGATAGAGGCAGTGGGAGGAGAGGCAATGCGCAAGGAAATGGACACCTATGGGAGTCGCAGACGATTGCTCTTATAAGAGCTTTGAATTTTTCTAAGGGCAGTGGAATCTTTTTTGGTGGGGAATTTATATCGAAACACAAAGAAATCAAATACACATAGCACATGTATTTAAAAAGCAAAAACAATACATACCTTGAAATATGCGAATGAGACTCTTCAATCATGTACTTCATTTGATCGATGTACGTACGACACCTGCTAACCCTGTACGCTTTACTGGTACCCATTTAGGTTTCGTAAGCAATGTTCATGCTCTGTTTGACCTGTGGTCGGTGCCTCGTAACTTCTCGTTACAATTTATTTTAATATCCACGTTCGAAATCTGAGCAAGAAAGTAATTAGAACAGTGATATTGCCAAATTTGAATTCACTACTTCAGATAACACAGATAAACTCAAACACTATTCTATCTAATTTGGATTTCTGGATTACACATAAACGTATTCTTTGACAATAAACAAATAATTCTTTCTTAAGGCAATAATCCTGTTCATGGCCCAACGGCTTTGCAAACACGTAAACGTTCCCTCCTACTTCGCACCGATTTACTCTGTTTCGGCCGCAAACAAGAGAGCGCATCCCTTCACTCTGCTTCTCTCTTGATGGCGTCGCCCCGTTCTCGTCTGCTTCTTTCTTCTTTGGATACCCGTTGCCATCGTGCGAAATCTCACGCACAACACAAGTGGTTAAATGAGTTTTATACAGCCCTTCGGCGTACCGAGCAACACTCATTTATTCACAGCAAGTTATTTAAAAATGAAACGTTCTATTTTTTCACTGCACCAACGTTGTTTCAAATATGTTGCCTAAACAACCCACTCCGTATTGACTGATGGGTTTAGAGGTACCGGATATATATATATA